ACGTCCGCCTGCTCCAAAGCAGCACTGGTTTCACAGCTGGTTTGAAGCAAGCACGTTGTGATGGGGTGAACTTCGCGGTCTGGGAGCAAGGCAGGACGGACGTTGGACTGAAAGCACATCATCCTGCCACCCGAGCAAGAAGCGGGAGGTGCGGGGCCATTCCAGGTCTCCCCTTCCCCATGGCTCCGGAGGGATGCAGAAGCACGCGCCCTTCCCCTCGGCACACGACCCGATCACCCCCGGGCAATCGCCTCCCCAGAGCCCGACAGGCGCTGCGCTCCCCGAACCAGCAGAGGAGGGGTGCTCGGAACTGGGGGGGGCACAGGGTCTGCGGGAGGACGCCTGCCTGACGCCGCTAACGGAGCGCGAGACAGCAAAGGGGGGGGGCAGGTTTTTAGAAACGAGATTTCAGCCAGCCTGGACGTCAGCGCACGGCTCTGCCCTCCTCAGCGGTCAGTCAGGGAAGCTCCTCGCTGGAAGCGGCGCGTCCGGAAAGCTCCGGCTCCTTCCTCCCTTTCACCATCTGTTCTCAGCCTAGGACGCGTCTCTGCTGAAAGGCTGGCTTGTCCCGAGCTCTGGCCCTTTGCCTCTCTCTCTCGGCTACGTTCGGTCCCTCCCTGTAAGCACGCTGCACCCTCTTCACGAGGCTGCCCCAGGCAGCGGAGGAATCCGTGCCTTCGCAGTTGGTGCCTTCTCTCAATGGGGCATTGATAACGGGCTCGAGCAGAGGCCAGGAGCCAAAAACACAGGGCTGGTTTTTGTACCGCACCTCATGACCTCACACCGAGTGGGCTTCACAAAGCCCCCAGTGCTGATGGACGTTTCAGCTCTGCTATAAAGAGCTTAAAAACCGCAGTCGCCGTCACTCTGCGGTGCGAACGCGGGGGTTACTTCGACGCGCGCGCAGGCAGGGTCCCTGCCAGCCCCGCTCCGTCCCGACAACGCTCTGGGTGCGGCCAGAGAAGGCAGCACCCTCTGCCAGGCTGGCGGGTGCCTTAAAGAGATTTACCTTGTGAGGCTCATTTACATGGCTAATTACATTACTGCTTTGCTCTGTCTCCTTCCTGCTCTCATCACACATGCGAAATGCCATCTGCCCTCGTAAATCTAACTAGCCAGATGAACTGTTAATTTACCAATGCAATATGTGATGAAATATTAAGCACCTCTGAGGAGCCCCGGTTAAGAAAACATAATCACCAGCTCCTGCATTGCACACGTTTTGTGTACATACATTCAGGATCTCATTACCCAGACAAGAAAATGAGGTTACCACTAGGCTTGCTTCTTAGAATGGCTCTACAGAAAAGGACAGAAGAAATAACAAAGATTTAAAAATAAGCTGTCTGCTTGTTAAGTACCAATATAAATTAGTTACAAATTCTTCTGTCAAGAAAGCTTTTCAAATCTAGGTGACAGGAAAACAGTTGGAGTAAAACCTTTGGCAACGCTATGCTTCATCTTCACTCAAACAATTCCATTGAGCCCATTCAGTTATAGTGCAACTCCAGCATTAATCAAATTATGCTAGAAATTAATTTATCTTTTTATGCATAATATAACATATTAGGCTTCTATTCTGAAAAGGACGTCAAGCAAACCAATAAGAACCATGACTGAAGCATTCATGTTGCACTGAATGGAGATTTTTCAGAGGAACAGGGAATAATTACACAGATAATATACATGATAAATTAATAACTGCTTTAATGCTATCTCATTCTAATACATCTTATAGTATTTCATCCCATTCCCCTTCATCTATAATGGATAGAGTCAATGGACTACACCCACACTGAACGGTACAGCATGTCTCTGAATACGGGTCAGTTTGACCACAGTGTCATAAATAAGTAGCAATAATTAGTCTGAAAATAATTAATTAAAATTACTTCAAGCTTGTTTTTTTCCCTCTCTAATTAAGATTCAGACTAATGAATAACTCCTGCAAGTCCAAGAAAACCAGGAAAGCTCCATTAGCGTTTCAGACATCAGAGATAAAAATGTTTCAGGTATCTTACAGCAAGTTTTACTGCGAGGTCAGTTTGTTGCCATTTTAAAATACTTGCTTTGACCTGGGTGGGGGCTTTGGTTGCTTCCCCAAAGTTAGAAAGCCTCTAGCCATTAGCCTTTACTACGGTCAGATTTAGCTCCCACTGAAAAGCTGCCCGCCCCGACGCAGGGGTACCCGGCTGCCCACCCCTCGGCACAGCTGCTCCTCACAAAGCCACCGCTGCGTTCAGCTCCGCGGCGGAGCGCGGGGCAGCTTCTAAAAGCACCAGCTGGACAGTGAGAGAGAAGTGATGCTCAGCCAATAACCACAACCAACCCTGCAACTCCAACGCTCGCTCCCTATGCCCATCCCGTCCCGCTGTCCTCTCTCCTTCCTGCTATCCACCTGCAAGGCCCACCGCACACCTTCTCGGGGTCTTCACAGGCAGCAAGTAGCTATTTAGCAATCCACCAGGAAAAAAAACAAACCGAAAAGCTTCAGGCCCTGCAGGGCTCCGAGATACCTTCTCCTAGGAGGGAGAGTGCAGATAAAATAGGCACAGACAGGAGGGAGAACGGGGGCTGGTGGGGAGGACGCTCCTCCCGCCGTGTTCTGGAGGTTGCTCAGAGCTTTACCTGAGTGTACTCGGTGCAGCCAGACAAGTTGGACACAAAGCTGCACACATCCTCCACCGTCCATTTGCTGATGTCTTCCAGCGCGGGGCTTTCCTCACCATCCAGAAACAGACCTCCCATGGTGCCTGGATTGTTTGGAGTTGGGGGGGGTAGGAAGGAGGGGAGGAGAAAGAAACATAAATCATTAAAATCCCACACGGACAACAACTAGCCTGCAATCTGAATATTTTTCTCTAGCCACACATTCATCTTTAATGACCTGTCAATTAAAGCACTGGGCAGGGTCAATTCATAGGCCTCTTCCTCCTGGAGGTCCCCAGCTTAGCAAGGGGGGCAGGGGAAAGGAAAAATCCCAGCTAATGCATTTCATGTGTTTGATGTTCTTCAGCTGCGGGGAAGCAACGGGGGGAGGGGAGAGAAAAGAAGAAAAAAAAAAAAACCAACCCTGAAGGAGTGCTTCTCCACACGCACCGCAAAGCGGAAAACTCTGCCTGCCCTGGGGGTTCCTTTCCCCCAACGCTTCTCCTGGCGACGTGCTCCGAATGACAACAGGCCCCGGCCCCCCTCCCTGGTGGCCCACCGCCTCGCCGGAGCGGGAACCACTGGAGAAGGTCTTGCTCTTGCCAAGTGTGTGTTTTCAATCCACCCCAGCCCGAAATACCCAGCGGATCGGT